GCACTTAATTCCTCTGCAAGTTTTGATTCATTTGATCCTTACAATAATCCTATGATAAAGGTATTATTATTATCACCATTTTATAGGTGAGAACACTGACGTTTACAGAGGTCAAGTAACTTGCCCAAGCAAATTGGGCAGCCAGATTGGAGCCCTGGCAGACTGCTCCAGAATCAACCCCCTTACTCACTTCAGGGCACCACCCCTGGGTTATATTTATACTCTGGATCTGCTTGGGGCAAGAAGCTGAATCGGGGGGAGGTCAGAGGCAGAAAAGTAAGAGGATTTGGTGTTTATACTAAGTCCAGCTGGAGACAATGACCCATTTTCTGCCTCCATTGGAGAAGGCTTCTGGGAAGAGGGGACCTTCCAATGGATGAAGGAGGAAACTGCACGGTGAGGCAGCAGGGGACGCCTGGTCTGAGGTCCAAGCAGAAGTGAGGGAAGACTTCAGTCACAAGAGGGACCTCAAAAACAGGCAGTCGGACACTTCACACTGGGAGGGATAAAAGGTTCCTGGATGAGGTATGGTGTGAGCCCCCAGGAAAGGGAAGATCTAAGCCCCACCTCAGGTTGCTTATGGTCAAAGGCAGGACAAATCAGGGCAAAACCTGGGACCTTCGCGAGGCAACAGCCAACACCATCCATTCACGTTAAATAGCACTGAATAAATCATTACCGCCCAAGGACGGTACTAGAGAAGCCCTGGTGACAGGAAACGCTGCCCTCTCCCACTCAGACTGTCAGTAACCTCTAAGGCCCTGCCCCCTGCATGGCTGCTCAACCCTGGCCCCCACTCTCCTGGCTCCAGCCACCCTGGCCTCCATTCAGGTCCTTCCCACCTGGGGGTTTTAGCTCAAAATATCTGTTTAGTATGGGGGTGACCTTGGGCAAGTCACTGAATTGGCCTTATGTCTTCAGCTGAAGAAGGAATAGTAACCTCTTCACCATGGAATTATTGTGAAGGTTAAAATGACCAAATGCGTCTAGTGTTCGTCATCCAGCTGCCACATCCTAAGCACTGGGTTAACATTCGCTATTACTTGTAAGACTGGGAGGGGGGAGGGCTCCGGGCACTCAGAGGGAAGCAAGGGGAGAGTGAAGCAGACAGGGAGAAGTTCCAGGCCCTTGGCAGGAGGACACCATGGCAGCCGCTCTGCTGGCTGCGGTGTGGGGGCATCAGGCGAGCACAGGGAGCCCTCCCCTGGTGTGGGCGTGGAGGGGGTAGGGTGCCCAGGGCAGTGCTCAGGCTTCCCACCCACCACCCACACAGCGGAGCCCTGCGTGGTCCTTGGGGCCTACAGGCTGCGGGAGTGGGGGGAGGTCACCCCTCCCGGAGCTGCCCCCGCCCCTGCCTGTGCTCTCCTAGGCATGCAGACCTGAACCTGGGCTCTTGCCTTCACCTTCATCTTTTCCACTCACTGGGATAATTAAGAATGATCTGCTAATTATGCAGGTGGCTGATTGAGTGCTTCCTAACCTTGGGAGTCACCAGGTGCCAGTCAGGAGAGAAAGGAGGGGAGCGGAGGATGGGAAGCTGGGAGGAGGCAAGGAAGGAAAAGGGGAAAGGATGGGGGAGGAGAAAGGAGGGACGGAGGAAGGATGGGGAAGAGGTAGGAAGGGAGAAAGCTTTACGGAGAATACGGGGCCCTTTCTCCAGGAAGGACGGGCTGCCGCTTCCCGGGTGGAGAGTCAGGAGGGGCTGATGAAAATGGCAAATGACAGCACCCCAACTTCCACCACACAGTTTGTCCGGCTACTCTGGTCCCCTCAACCTCGTCATCTAAGTCATGTGAAGCAGATGACGTCTCTGGACAGTTATTTTGGGGCCTGGCTGCTCCCAGGTGAAGAACCCGGAGGTCTGCTAGGCTGGAAGAGGAGCCTGGAGGGCGGGGCAGGGAAGGTGGGGCGCGGGGGAGCAGCAGGGCTGGGAGAGCCTGAGAGGCCCTCGTCATTCTCTGCCGGCTCTGCAGGCTCCGCAGCACCCGCGCTGAATGCTAATTTCCCATGAGCTCACCTGCCTGCAGAACTGAGGGCAGGCTTCAGCGCGCAAGCGGCTGGGCCGGGCCTGGGGTGCCAGAGCTGTGGGGAGGGGAGGTAGAAGGACCCCAGAACCAATCCAGGTCAGTGGTGAGTGGGACTCCGGAGGAAATGCGACACAGAGGACAGCACTGCTTCCGGCTGGACCTGAAGCTGTGTGTGAGCTCCAACCCTCCTGGTTACCGAGGCACCACCAGACCTGTCTAGGAATGGGGCCAACTGAAAAGCGGCAAGCCGGGATGGAAAGAAAGAAAACTCGGGTCCTGGAACTCCACAGCCTGCTCTACCGACTGGTTACTCTTTGCTTTAACTAGTTTAGGGAGCTCTGATTGATAAATATGCAGCCAATTCTTACTTTTCCCTCTTCTCTGGGACCCTAGGAACCCCCAGTTTGTGCTATGCAGTTAGGAGTCACCTGGACGTACTGTGTTCCCGTTCCAGACCATAAGACCTTCAAGGGCAGGAACTGTCTGTCCCACACAGCTTCCGCAGCCCTCAGGGCCTAGTGTGCTGGTTCCATGGCAGAAGCTCAGTGGGGTGATCTGGAATCTGGCTGTGCAGGGAGCCTGATCCCGGGTCCCTGAGAGGCATCCTAAGCTCCTTGGGCCATGGCTAGCCACATGGAGCACCCACATCCATGCTCACCTACCTCCCCACCCCCTCCTTAGGGAACCCTTCCTGCCCTCTCCCATCCCATGCAGGGCAAGAAGAAACAAAACTGTCTACAGGTGCCAAACACCTTTCCAGGAAGGAAAAAGAAAGCATGCGAAAAGGCCAGTGCTCCCCTTACAGAAAGGCAGACATACAGTCACCATCCTGGAGAGGAAACACAAATATTTCAGATGGACTGGTTTGGCATCCATTTCAATCACTGGGCATGCAGTGGCCATAATCTGGGCCTGATGGCTCTTAAAAGGCCTGTGTCCTCTTGTTTATGGGTTCCTTAGGAATATTTGTACAAAAATAAGGCACCTAGCATGTTCTGTAACTATTGACCAGGTTTATGGGGATCACTCTGGGCAGCATATGAGCAGAGATGGCATCAACCCATAAGAACGAGTATTTACTGACTGCTTACTAATATGTGAGCACTTAATTCCTCTGCAAGTTTTGATTCATTTGATCCTTACAATAATCCTATGATAAAGGTATTATTATTATCACCATTTTATAGGTGAGAACACTGACGTTTACAGAGGTCAAGTAACTTGCCCAAGCAAATTGGGCAGCCAGATTGGAGCCCTGGCAGACTGCTCCAGAATCAACCCCCTTACTCACTTCAGGGCACCACCCCTGGGTTATATTTATACTCTGGATCTGCTTGGGGCAAGAAGCTGAATCGGGGGGAGGTCAGAGGCAGAAAAGTAAGAGGATTTGGTGTTTATACTAAGTCCAGCTGGAGACAATGACCCATTTTCTGCCTCCATTGGAGAAGGCTTCTGGGAAGAGGGGACCTTCCAATGGATGAAGGAGGAAACTGCACGGTGAGGCAGCAGGGGACGCCTGGTCTGAGGTCCAAGCAGAAGTGAGGGAAGACTTCAGTCACAAGAGGGACCTCAAAAACAGGCAGTCGGACACTTCACACTGGGAGGGATAAAAGGTTCCTGGATGAGGTATGGTGTGAGCCCCCAGGAAAGGGAAGATCTAAGCCCCACCTCAGGTTGCTTATGGTCAAAGGCAGGACAATTCAGGGCAAAACCTGGGACCTTCGCGAGGCAACAGCCAACACCATCCATTCACGTTAAATAGCACTGAATAAATCATTACCGCCCAAGGACGGTACTAGAGAAGCCCTGGTGACAGGAAACGCTGCCCTCTCCCACTCAGACTGTCAGTAACCTCTAAGGCCCTGCCCCCTGCATGGCTGCTCAACCCTGGCCCCCACTCTCCTGGCTCCAGCCACCCTGGCCTCCATTCAGGTCCTTCCCACCTGGGGGTTTTAGCTCATGCCCTCTTCCTTCTGGAACACTTCTTCCCAATTTAACTCCTACTCACCCTTGAGACTTCCACATGTTTTTCCCCACATATGGTGCTCCTGACCCCCCTAGACCAAGCCAGGCCTCCTGTTAACAACTCTCAGAGCACCTTATCTCTCCGTCACGGCAGGGCAATAATGATTCCAGAGTCTAGAGCCACAGTGCTGGGTGTGGCTCTGGCTCTGCTGCTTGGGCGAGTCTCTTAGCCTTTCTGTGCTTCAGTTTCCTCATCTATAAACAGAGATAACAGAACCTCCACATGAAGCTGCTGTGATTTAGATGAGTTAACGCACTCAGATCAATGGCACACATGGTTAATGCTATATAAACAAATTACAAAATCCTATCACAATTCTAATTAAATAACTAATCATGCAGTTGATTAGTTGAATCTGTCTCTCCCGCCAGAGTACAGGTTTCTGCCACTATCTGAAAGCAGGGTCCTATGAAATCTTTTGTAAGCTGAAATGGCATGATGTGAAGAAGCAATTGCCATTTCCTACAAGCTCAGCTCCTCTTTGGATTTCTCGTTAGTGGAAACAGGTATTAATGTAGGTCTTTCATAAAACGTGTAGCATAATGTAAGCTTTTGATAGTGGGGGAGCCTGTACATCCTCTAGGTGGACAAGGACGACGCCTCACTCATTGCTGTAACTCGAAAGTAGCACAGTGCCTTGCACACAGGAAGTGTTGAATAAATATTTGCTGACTGCAGGAGTGAGGGAAGGTGCCCCCCAATGGGAGGAAGAGCATGAGTTGGGAGAGTAGACCACCCGGGGGCCCCAGGGATGGCAGGAATCCTGGGGCTAAGTGGGAATGAGCTCTTACAAGAAAAAGCTTCTAAGCCGGGCCCCTACCTTGAGCCTCTGGGGCACAGGGAAGCCTGCTGGGTCCCTCCAGGACCAAGAATCACCAAAAGGGCTGCTCCTGGAAGGTGCCTTCCTGGGAAAGGAGAGATCAGATAGGGGTGGTGGAGGCACCCACCTGCTAAAGATGTCTCCGGAGACCTTCTGTAGGTACTGCAAGGCATCTGCCACCTGCTGGATGACCTCCTCACGCCGCAGGTCTGGCTGGATGAGGGGCACCTCGTAGGTCTGGCCCACCAACGCGTGCTGGGTTCTCATGGGAGTCATGGTGCCTGTGGGTGGGAACCAGAGCATCAGCATCGCCACCCACTCACCCACAGGGCAAGGTTCCAGAAGAGAGCACAGCCCTTCTCCCCAGCCGTCTGCCACAGGTTGGGAGTGGGGGACGGAGAATTTGGTGGGAGGTCAGGAGCCTGTACTTTGTTGATGCTTGTTGGGTGGATGAGAGGGTAAGCTGGTCAGGACAATAGTCTCTGCAGACTGAAGAGAAGCCTTCAGAGAAGGTGCAACGGTCACTGGCTGCCAGAGGGTGCTTGGTACCTTGCTAGGCACTCTTTCCATACACAGTCTCATTTCAACCACCCAAGCCTGACAAACAAGAAACCCTGGCCATGGAGTTAAAAGGAGGCTGGAAACAGGGATGGATTTTGGGGGAAAAATTGCCTGTATCAATTGCCAAATGGTACCCAGGTCTGGAAAAGCCTCAAAAATGTGGGCTGGGTCTGTTCCTGAGATAGGATAGGTAGTAGCTGGTGACTGGGTAGAGGACTGTCCAGGCTTTGCTCACCCAGGCGAGGAGAGGCCAGAAGGAGGGGCATGTGAAGGCAGGGGAGAGGAAGGAAAAACACTCCTTCAAATCGCAAGGCGAGGGCAGAGTCTATTTTTACTGTGTTTAATTAACTCGGCTCCCTGGTGCCACTGAAGCGGCAGTCACACTGCAGACGGCCCTGATTTGATTGGCAAGAGATACACCAAGCAGAATGTTAAGGCACCAGGCCCTTATAAATAGGCCTAATCACAGCACCTCAGTAGAAGGTGAGGAAGACACGGTACTGTTCTCAGACCTGCTCTCTTAGCACCAGATTGGGGCCTCTGATTGCAACAAAGGTGTGGGTGGGGCCTGGGGAAGCGTGGGAGGGCTTAGGAGGCTCCATTTGGGCTTAAAGGGCTGGGTGACGCTGGGTAAGTTGCTGGCCTCTGAATCTGATTCTTTCCATTTCCCATTCTGCGGACTGAGAATAGGCATTGCTAAATGGTTATTCCCAGCGTATCACACCAACCTCTTCTCCCAGCAGGAGCTTCCTCCTTTGCTCCCTGTAGGCTTTCCCAGCCATTCCTTGAACCCTACTCGTTCTCTCCTACCCTTTCCAGGCCAGCACTTTTCACATCTGAGATGGCTGTTCACTCTTCAACTCCTTCTCCAGCAGCGATAACCTCAGCTTCCCCGACCTGAACCTGCCGAGATTCATCAAGGCCCAGGAGTCTCTCTTCACCTCCCCACTTCTCGTACCTCCTATCAAATGACTCAAGTGGGGCCACTGATCCCCAAGCATCCGAGAAACCTAACTCTTGAGATCACCACACTCCTTCCAAGGACAGCCCCCCTTTTATATTTCTATCAAAGCAAATTTGCAGCCCTCCGTTGCCCTGTACCTATTTTCCCACCTGTAAGATCAGGAGCGGGCCAAAGATAGGATACATCTTCAGTGCACAGCTTGAGGTGCATTCCTCATGGTTACTCAAGGCACCTGTGTGTGTTATGTGTGCAAGGAGGTAGTAGTACAGGCACACATCTCAACAAGGAAGCAGCAGGTCCATTCAAGAATTGAGAGACTGAGTACAGCTGGCTAACAGTGAACTCCTGTCTGCAACCATCTGCTGATTAATCCTCAGGCGACAACCATGCTCACAAGGACGAACAGGGCGCTGGGGCAGCCACGGAGACAGCCTGCGAACAGTCGGACGCTGTGATGATTGCTCGAATCCAGCTAAGCATACACTGCTAGGGGAACATCGAGGAAGGGGCGGCAAGCCCCTTCTGGGGTCAGGAGAGTCGGGAAAAGCCTCTCAGCAGAACCGGGTCGGGGGAGGCAGTGCAGGGACAGCATTCTGGGCGGAAGGTTAAGTCTGACCAAAGGTGCGCGGGGCAACGGCAAGAGGTCTTGAGTGGGGATGGTACAAGCATCCATGGGAAGTAGCAGAAAAGAGAAAAAGAGAGGCCGGATTGTTAATAACACTGAATCCCACAGTGAGGAGCTTGTATTGTAATCCTCAAACCAGTGTGCTGCCACTATCCACGTGGCTATACAGCACTTGAAAGTAGCTAATCTGAACTGAGATGTAGTTTAAGTGTAAAATGTACACCAAAATTCTAAGACTTGGCAGGAAATAAAAGTAAAATAGTTCATTAAAATTTTTTACGTTATATGATGAAATGAGTATCTTACGTATTTTAGATATTTAAATATATAGTTTAGATATATTGAGTTAAAGAAAGCATTAATTTCACCTCTTTCTGCTTTTAAACTCACACGTGGCTCATATTGCTATTGGATAGCGCTAATATAATCTGGTAAAAACTATGGGCTCTCCCAGAAAAATGAACATAACATCATACCCGTTTTCCATAATACTGTAACTTCGGAAGTGCGCAATATCCTTCCTGCAAACCCGACACCCAGCTCCCTGGGCCGATACCTCAGTCAAAACCTGCTGCTGCGGGCAAGCAGGAACCAAGCACGGTTAGGGCGGCGTGGGGTCCGCTACGAGCGGCCGGGGGCGGCGGAGGCGCGAGACGAGGTCTGACGATCCGCTCAGCCGCCCTCCCGGCGCCCGGCGGGTGGAAGGCACGTGACGGTAACGGCCGGGCAGGAGGTGGAGGGCCGCGGCCCGGAGCCCCGGGTCGGCGCCCGCCGGGCCCGGCCTCCCGCCCGGGGCCAGGCACGGGGGCGGTGGCGGAGGACCCGCCTCCCTGGGGCACCGCCCGCGCGGCCGCAGAGTCGGAAGTGGACCCGGGCGCAGGCCCGGAGCCCCAGCGCCTGCCGCCGAGCTGCGCAGGCCCGCGCCCGAGGGCTCCCGCGGCCCAGGCTCAGCGCCGGGCCAGCCCCGGAGAAAGGGCCGCGGTCGGCTCCCGGGCTTTCCCGGCCCGCGCCCTCGCCCTCCCCGGCCCGCGGGGCTGTCGCGCCGCCCCTCACCTGCACGCCGGCCACCGCCCGGCCCCGCTCCGGCCGCCGCGCTTCCGCCCCGCCAGCTCCGCCGGGTCCTGGCGCCGCCGTCTCCCGGGGTTCCGCCTCGGGCGCTCCCTGGGCTCCCAGAGCTCCGCCCGCCGCCCGCGCTGCTACCTCCCCCACGCAGCTCCCTCGTCCTGGGGGTGACCTGTGCGCCGTCCCAGCGCAGGGCCGGGACACTCCCACCCCCAGCCTCATACACATGACTGATTTCATTCATCCTTTAGCGCGCACTTACTTTCTTGGCTCTACCTCTGTGGACGGTTCTCCCCAGAGCCCACTTGATTCCCATTCTTTTAAGAATTAATATATAAGCCAGACACAAAAGGACAAATGCTGTATGATCCCACTTACAGAGTACCTGGAAGCCAACTTCATACCCACAGAAAATAGAATGGTGGTTACCGGGGAGGGGGTGTTATTGGGTAAGTACAGAGTTTCTGTCTGACAAAGTCTCTCTTTGACCAAACTTAAGTCAGGCTCCTCTGAATCCCCTATCCAACTAGGCCTTGATTTGTGTCACCCAATTTAGGGAGCACCCTGTGAAGTCACTTTAGCCAGACTATGTCAGACCACCCTTCATATCTGACCAAGTTCCTCATCCCCCACTAATCCCCAGGTGGGGCTGGCCTGCCTTCAGTGGGAATCCTGTTAGGTCATTTGGGTGGAGAATTATCCCACCCTCTTAGTAACTTTCATCCACCAGCCTGCCTCCCCTTGGCTGTAAATCTCCATGTGTCCATGCTGTATTTGGAATTGACCCTGTGTAGGGATGTCTTCCCAATGGGTTTCAGCCCCAGGTAAGTTTGCTATGGATTCAATGTGACCAAAGAAAATGGCAGCAAAAGGTTCTTTGGGATGAAAGGGTTTATTACCCTGCTTGTTCTCCCAACCATAGGCTGAGCACTAGCATCTCTACCTCCACCCAGAGCACTGGGCTGAGCTCTCTCTATAGCACAGTAATAGCTTATTGCCTAAAGGTGTGGAAGCAGCAGCGCAGCAACAGGCCAGTTACATCATCAGGTGGTTTAAGTTCAATGAGGATCCTGGCCACAGGAGCCCCAACATCCCCACAGGGAAAATGGAAGTACCAATGACCAGGATCCTCACCTGACCCTAATCTACCTGATGATGTAATAGGCCTACTGCTAGGCTGCTGCTTCCACACTTGAGGGCAATGAGCCATTATTGTTGGTGATGCTATATAAAGAGCTCCCCCCAATGTTCTGTCCAGAAACAGAGGTACAGACTGATGGAGGCTTTGTGGGAGACAGGGTCCATGAGCATCAAGCTTCATATAAACCCTTTACCCCTAATGTTACATTGTTGTTATTTGGTCTCACCTGAACCAGAGTGAACCTCCCAGGGGGCAATCCCCCTCAGACAAGCCACCTTGGCTCCATACTGAGGTCTTGTTTCTCCTGTTGCCAAGTTTTGGATAAGATCTGTTTTTACTGCTTTAACTACTGTGCAGCTCAAATTTTCTTTGACATGTCAGGTTGCAATGATGAGAAAGTTCTGGATGTTGGGAGTGGTAATGGTTTCACAACAATGTGAATGTTCTTACTGTCACTGAACTGTACGCTTAAAAATGGTGTATACTTAAAAATGGTCAATTTTATGTGTATGTTATGGCAATTTTTAAAAACTAGCAGGTTTTTAAAAAGACTTTTAAGAAGGAAACATCAGTCCAGAAGTGCTGCAATAGTTCTTGGTCCCTCTCTTTTAAGGTTGCAAAATAAAAATACAGGATGCCAAGTGTAGGGAAAATGGACGGCCAGGATCCTCACCTGATCCTAATTTACTTGCCCACTGTCCATGTGCAATGATGTAATACTTAGCCTACGGTGCAGGTGAATGCTTGCACACTGTTGGCAATAAGCCATTACTGCCTGTGTTGCAGTATAAAGAGCTTCATCCAGTGCTTGGGGCAGAGCCTGGAGCTGAGGCTCTAGAGACAGAGAGAGACTTGCCAGAGGTGGATGGGATTCTAGTTTGACCTGCCACCAGGAGAATAAAGCTTGTGAATGTTTATACAACCCTTTTACCCCCAGTGTTCTGCTGTTGATATGTGGTCTCACCGAATCCATAGTGAACTTGCCTGGGGCTGAAACCTTCAGGTGAAACACCAAGTTAATTTGTATTTCAAGGAAAAAAAAGAATTTTTTAAAGTATATTCCAAACCAAGTATGGGATATACCTAGACTAAAGAATTATTCATTATCTATTTGAAATTCAAAACTAAGTAGGTTTGATATTTTTATTTGCTAAACCTGGCAATCCTACTCTTCCTAATACTCTCTTGAGTTTTGTCCTCCTTCCCTGCCTACCCTTCCACAAAGGGGAGTTAGGGTAACTTGTCTTTTTTGACAAGAACATTCCAAAGTCTTGCTGGCTGCATATGGTCCCCACCAACAAGGAAAAAATGGGTTTCTACTTGTATTTATAGACTGTGCCCCAAACTGCCCCCCAAGAAAAATGTTGAAATCCTAACTCCCAAGGTGATGGTATCTAGAGAGAAGGCCTTTGGGGGTTAATTAGGGTTAAGTGAGGTCATAAGGGTGGGGCCCTTGGGGCGAGATTAGGGAGAGCCTTTGTAAGAGACACCAGAGGCCTTGTTCTGTCTTGCTCTCTCTACCACGCAAGACTCAGGGAAAAGGTGGCCATCTGAAGAAAAGCCAGGCACCTTGATCCTGGGCTTCCAGCCTCCAGGACTGTGAAAAGTTAAGTGTATGTTGTATGTTTAAGTCAGCCAGTCTATGGTATTTTGTTTTTGACTAATACAGCCTGCCAACACATTTCCTTCTCACTCCACCTGAGCAATGACAGCAGCTTAAATTATCCAAGACACATCAAAGAGGGGGAAATGTGCCATGTGTGGAGGAGAGCATGCGGGCTCGGCTCTGTCACTCATCCTTCATGCCACTTTGGGTAGGTCGTCTAATGGGGCCCCACTTGCCCCATTTACAAATTGGGGTTAAGAGTGCTTGCCCTGACTTCTTTTGAGAGCTACAGAGGAAGGATGTCAAAGTGCTTTGTGATCTGTAAAGATGATTCAAACATGAGAGGAAATTTTTTAAGTGCTCCAGGATTTCTGTCTACACATAGACACACATACCATATCACGTATCAAACCTGGCTTTATTTTCTTGCAAAAGTGCTGCTAGACAGTACCTCTGACCCAGACCAGCCAGGTCATCCTCCAGACAGTTCACCCTCTGCTTCATAATAAGTTCTATACCTGACCTGTTACTGAGAGGCTCATCCAGACCTAATTTTAAAGATTTGCTAGGAGCTGGATTGCAAAGACATTTAACCTCAGCCACCTGAGCTGCAGTGGAATCCTTGACCTCAGTCTGGAGAAAGAGAAGCTGAATGTCATCCTAAGTATGGACACAGAGTCCCTGCCTAACTTTGCTGGCCCACATATCATTCCATTTATAGGAAATATCCAGAATAGGTCAATCCATAGAGACAGGGTGCAGACTGGTGGTTTGCAGGGGCTGAGGGGAGCAGGGCATGGGAAATGGCTTCCTAATGGGTTCAAGCTTGCATTTTGGGGTAATGAGGTTTTGGAATTGGAGCAGTAATGGTTGCAAACACAGTGAATGTACTAAATGCCACTGAATTGCTTGTTTCCTTTCGAATGGCCAATTTATGTGACTTTTGCCTCACTTTAAAAAAGTGAAGCTGGGCAGGAGTGGCCCTAAATGAGCACTGGGCTTTACCCTGTGTGCGTTGCTTGGCTGCATGATGGGAAGGCCAGGCCTGCATCTTACACTTCTGTGTGCTCCCTGGTGTGGAGGCTGTACAGGGTGTGAGGTGGAATTGGAGAACCAAAGCTTGACCTCAGAGGGCAGAGGGCAGAGGATGGAGTGAGCAGGGAGGTCGCTGGCTGAGGGCCTTTTCTGTGTGTACTCCTGGGACATCTTTTTGAGGATACGGGAGACACATGGTGTCCCTTGTCACCGTTCTCTCAGCATACTTTTATTGAATGCTTGCTCTGTGCCTTCGAACAAGTTAGGGAAACAGAAGCTTAGGCGGATGATTGCCATCGTGTTTTGATGGAAGCAGTGGAGGGCAGCACAGGGCACTCGGAGCAGGGGCATGAATTCAGCTGCTCCAAATAGAACCCCCACTACAGAGCTTAACCACTAGGAGTTTCTATTTCCCGCATTACAGGAGAACTGGAGGTAGGCAGGACGGGGCTGGTCTGGCAGCTCTATGGTGCCCTGAGGAATCTGGAATCTCCTTTCTCTTCTACTTTAGCACATGGCTGTCATCCTTGTGACTGTAATATGTGCGCTGCATTCCCAGGCGCTGCTTCTGACTTCTAGGTAGGAGGAAAAGAAGTACAAAGAAAAAGATAAAAGGCAAATATGAGTCCAATCTATTCCTTTTAAAAACGATTCTCAAAGAGTCTCCATCTAGCCGCTTCTCACACCTTATTTGGCAGAACTGGAACACCTGACTGCTGCTAGCTACAAGGAAGTCTTGGTAAATGGGTATTTTTAACTGGGTACATTACTCCCTGAACACACCTGGGGTTCCACCAGAAGAAGGAGAGAATGGACAGAAGGCTGTCTACAGCAATGTCTGGGGGAGACTCCTAACCCTTGGCTGAGTTGCTGGGGGGTTGCTTAGTGGCTTTCTGGAGGGCGTGGTATGCCAGAGAAGGAGCTTAAGGGTTACCTCAGAAGGCAAGGTGGGGTTGCAGGCATTCCAGGGCCACAAAATAGCAAGAGTGCATTAGTTAAGGCAAGACAAACTGCTGCAAAGACCAAAAACTGTATAATTGCTTAAACATAATGGAAATCCGTTTGTCACTAATTTAATGGAACATCCAAATCAGTGGATGGCTCTCTTCCATGGTTTAATTCAAGGGCCTGGGTTCTTTCCACCTGTGTCTCTACCATCTTCAACATGGGACTTCCAAGCC